TTCATGCGGTATAATTACTTTTCATGTTGCTAAGAAACTATAAAGTTTGTTAGCAAGACAAGTTGAACTGAAAGCCATTTGGGTTTTCAACTGTGAGATTGAATTATATTCGGTACCAACAGTCACCTGGTTTTAGGTATGTACTATTATTGTATACAATCATGAATGTTACATAGAGTATATCTGAATATGCGAATATGTTTATGATATTAACACTTCATTTAATTTTAGTTCTGTTGCTTGTCAAACCTGTCAGACTGTTGTAATAAAATCCATATCTGAGTTTGCTGAGAACCTATTCTTCTTCATCAACATTCAAATACATGTCATCACTAGATTTGAGTTGCGGTTACTGGCAAATCCCTTTAACTACGAATTCCCAAAAATATACCGGTTTTAAGTTTGAGGGTGAAACCTATTGTTTCTGTACTTTGCCATTTGGCCTGTCTACTAGTGTGAGTACGTTCGTCAGGTGTTTGAATACAATTTTCGGTAACGAGTTTAGTAGTTTTTTGGTAGTGTACGTGGACGATATCTTAATTTTGTCAAAATCATTCGAAGAACACTTAATTCATATCGAAAAAGTTTTACATCGTATACAAAAAGCTGGCTTCACTGTAAAATTCAGGAAATGTAAGTTTTTTCGTGAGGAAATGGTGTTTCTTGGCTACATACTCGACTCTCAAGGGATTCGCCCGAATCCAGATCGGATTCAAGTCCTAAAAAGCTTTGCAGTTCTTTGATATTTCTAGGTACTTTGTAATCTTTTATGGCTTGAATCCGATCTGGATTCGGGCGAATCCCTTGAGAGTCGAGTATGTAGCCAAGAAACACCATTTCCTCACGAAAAAACTTACATTTCCTGAATTTTACAGTGAAGCCAGCTTTTTGTATACGATGTAAAACTTTTTCGATATGAATTAAGTGTTCTTCGAATGATTTTGACAAAATTAAGATATCGTCCACGTACACTACCAAAAAACTACTAAACTCGTTACCGAAAATTGTATTCAAACACCTGACGAACGTACTCACACTAGTAGACAGGCCAAATGGCAAAGTACAGAAACAATAGGTTTCACCCTCAAACTTAAAACCGGTATATTTTTGGGAATTCGTAGTTAAAGGGATTTGCCAGTAACCGCAACTCAAATCTAGTGATGACATGTATTTGAATGTTCCAACAGACCTCAAAATTTCATCTATCGGTTTTGGGGTATTGTGTTCTTTTTCAATTCTTTGATTTAAAAATCTTGCATCTAAGCATATTCGGACGGAATTATCTTTCTTAACCGTGGCCATTATTGGAGAAATGTAAGGTGTGGGTGTTTTAGTTATTACTCCCCATTTAATCATGGTATCCAATTGTTTCCTTACCGCCATCCTTTGGGCAATCGGGATTGGGTACTGTCTTTGACAAAATTCTGATGTATCCCGCATTCGAATGTCATACTCATATTCATGTGTTCTGCCGGGTTTGTCCGAAAAAATTTCTTTGAATTTTATTAATAAATCACTTACCTCATACTTTTGGTGTTCGCTCAAAGGAGAACCAGTAACTACTGCCTTTAATTCATCCGTAGACATTGAATAATCAATATCTGGCAATAATATATTATTTGTTTTTATGAAGAAGTTCCTGAGTTTTGGAATTTCAGTATATCGACAATCGTCGTTTACTTTCAGTTCGGGAACCACCATCCAATTATTTGAAATCTTGATCAATAATTTTTTATTATCCAAATCTAATTTGGATTTAACCGAACGTAAAAAGTCAATGCCAATTATAATAGGATACATTAAATCTGAAATAACAAAGAATTCAAAACAAAACTCGTTTTGAGAAATTGAGAATGTTAAAAGTGATTGCTGTCTAACTCTATTTTGTTTGGAGCCAAACGCACCCATGACAGTAACGCCAGTACAAGAAAATGTAGGAATGTCCGGATGAAATATTTCAATTTGTTGCCATACTTCATCACTCAAACAACAAATGTCACTCCCTGTATCAATTATTGCTGGAAATTTGAAATTGTACAAATTGATCTCAATGGTTGGCGTACGTGTAGTTATACTATCTCTTTCATAGTCGTTATCTAACAATAAATCTTCACGCGGATTATTACATACATCGATCCTTTTGATTGCCGACCTCACTGACGGACCTAATTCAAATGAGGTACCGACTCGTTTCCCGTATTCAAATCACAATCGGATACTAACTGATTATCAACCTCAATTACAGACACCTTGCTTACTTTTTCCGGATATCTTTTCGACTCGCCACGTTCCATATGCAATTTTCTGGTTTCATCAGAAAACTTACCTCGTGTGTCATTATTTCGGTGGAAATATTGGGAGTTTGTCGTTCCCGCAGTATCATTATTTCGGTAAGAGGGTTGGAAGTTTGAAAACATTGCAGAGTTAATATTATGATAGGCGTCAGCTTGTCTAAGTCTATCCAAAGCCAATGATAATGATTCACAATACATTAAAGTACTAGAAATATGGGGAGGGAAAACACGAGCTATTTTCTTAATGATATCTAGCTCACTCTGAGCCGTGGATAAATGTTTGGATAAATTAACACAACGCAAAAAATGTGTAACAAAAGAACCATTTTCGTATCGAAGCTTTCTCAACTTATCTTGTACGTCAAACTGAATATCCTCATTCCAAAATTGACCGATAAAAGCTTGTTTGAAGGCTGGAAAGTCAATGAAAATAGTTACACACGCTTGATACCACATCAAAGCCTCTCCTTTAAAATGATTAACGATACTGAGTTTGAAATATTCGAAAGGTACTTGATGAACTTGATGAAAATATTCCAACTGTGAGAGAAAATCTATAGGATGAATACTTCCCTTATTATCGAAAACTGGTAACTGTCGAAGAATCTCAATAGCATTGACACTCTTCGGCGAGCCATCAGTCCCGTTGTTTGAGATTTCTGTTGTGGGTTTAGGTAAAACATTTAAATTTTGCATTGCAGATACAACCTGTGTTACAATAGATATTAAATCTACATTATTCTGTACTCCTTGAGTTTCGGATTCGATGAGATTTCTATGCAAATTATAAACTCTTTGTATATTTCCATCACACGGTGCATCAGGTTCGTAACTTTGTGGAAAAGTCAAATCACGTCTGTTATCTCCTATGAGATTCCCCATATCCTGTCCCGGATAATATTGAGGTCCTGATGTAGACGGCTCACTGAAGTGCGATTCAGAAGCTGCAACATCCTGTAGATTCCTAACTGGAGTTTCACTTGATGTCAAATTTGATTTCGACAGGACTGGTTCAACTCGACCAACGTTCGCTTTTGATGGTTCTACCCTTACCCCAGGTAGAGGATTGGTTTTTGGCAAAACAGGTCTTCTCCTCAGGTTATATCTATCCATTTTTCTAGTTTGCCCCACGTTGGGCGCCAGATGAAGAAGAATAGGTTCTCAGCAAACTCAGATATGGATTTTATTACAACAGTCTGACAGGTTTGACAAGCAACAGAACTAAAATTAAATGAAGTGTTAATATCATAAACATATTCGCATATTCACATATACTCTATGTAACATTCATGATTGTATACAATAATAGTACATACCTAAAACCAGGTGACTGTTGGTACCGAATATAATTCAATCTCACAGTTGAAAACCCAAATGGCTTTCAGTTCAACTTGTCTTGCTAACAAACTTTATAGTTTCTTAGCAACATGAAAAGTAATTATACCGCATGAATATCAAACCCAATAGATGATACTGAATGGTTATTTTGTCACAAGGTAAAGTGCATGTTTAAGAAATTACCACAACACATGTGCACATCAAAATTGTATGCACAAGTAGTTCATCACATAATCAGTTCATAATATCGGGACTTCCAACTTTCTGGAATTTCAACAAAAACCAAGTTGCATGCATTTGCTAATTGTTCAAAATCATCAATTTTCAATCAAAATTCAAAGGACCCCGCACAAATCAAATGCAATTTTTATTTATGTCAATTCAACTGAAATTTTGGGAGAAAGTAGTTCAAAGTGTGCTGAACAAAAGTCTCCATGGGGTCAAACGACTTCTATGAGTAGTTTTCGTGCTACGCTCTCGTGAAAGGGTGTACACACGCACTTATGTGAGATATCAAAATCGAATCCATGTTAGGTTAGGATAGGTGGGTGTGGTTGATGGTTGTGTGGGTGCATTGTGGGTGTATGTATACAGGGTCATACAAGGAGGCCAAAGTACCTGTCACGTCCACGTTCGTTGGCCTTGAGTAGCGCAAAGAACAGGTGATATGATTAATGATATGGTAGTTGATAGATGTTAATGTATGCAAAATATAGTAATTATAGCGTAACTAATCAGCAAACATTCTGAATTCCTGAATTCGATTTCGATATCTCACAAGTGCGTGTGTACCTCCTTTGTAGATCCTTTGGTCAAGTTTTTTCTATACGTAGTATCACTTTCGTTGGCCTTGAGTAGCGCAAAGAACATGTGATAATGAATAATGATATGACAGTTGATAGATGTTGATGTATGCAAAATATAGTAATGAAATATAGCTTAATATATCAGCAAACTTACTGAATTCCTGAATTCGATTTCGATATCTCACAAGTGTGCTCGTTTACCCCCTTTGTAGATCATTTAGTCAAGTTTTTTCTATACGTAGCATCAGAGGATTAACGAGAGCGTAGCACGAAAACTTCTTATAGAAATCGTTCGACCCCATGGAGACTTTTGTTCAGCACACTTTGAAGTACTTTCTCCCAAAATTTCAGGTAAATTGACAGAAATCAAAATTGCATATGATTTGTGCGGGGTCCTTTGATTGGTGACGCCACTATGCGAGCACAAATTGATTATTGTTGAAACCCGATAAAATAATTACTTGTGAGTTGCACACATTAAAAAAACGATGCAAACAGTCTGTCATTATATACCGGTCAGTCTATCCCATCAGGTATCGAAAGTACCTCGGAAAGTACTGACCTTCAACTTCTTGGCATCGTTGTTTTGCAAAATGAACGCGGCCACCGCCATGTCGAACTCGTTCCTGTACACCACCGCCAGACTAGGCGTCTCGCGCTGCAGCTCGTGCACGGCTAGCCGGTCGACTAGGTACGGCTGCCGGACGACGCGCACCGTGGCGCCGCCCTTCTTCGTGGACGGCTTGCACACCAGCAGCATGTCGGTCAGCAGGAAGCAGTGGACCTCCATCTGGAACGAAACGAGTAGGGGTAGAATAGCGTTTGTGGTGCAAGTCTGTGTCAAGTCTCTTGTTTGACCAGGCACATATAAGGTTTCTTCGCGTTCACAAAATTAACAGTCCGAAACCATCAGAAGCATATGGGATGAGATGGGATGCGCAGTGACAAAGAAGTAATCGCGTTGTCTCAAGACTGTTCCGAATTCCACGGATCATGTATTTCATGAAACGAGTAGGGATAGAATATTTGTGATGATTTTTCATATGATGGTCAATTCAAATATGTATGTCCTATACAAAAATCATTGAAATACTGCCTCCACATCAGTATTGCATACCGGCAGCATGTCGGTCAGCAGGAAGAAGTGGACTTTCTTCTGGAACGAAACGAGTAGGGGTATAATATTTGTGGTGCAAGACTGTGTGAAGTCTGTGATTTGACCGGACACATATATATTCAGTATGAAGTCTGACCAACCAGCTGTTCGGGAATATCGGTCACGTTGCAAACCTGCCCACAAAGTTACCACGTCAACTTCTGATAGAAGTCAAGACAGCCATTGACCATTCTGCTATCACAACTGTGTCCGGACGAACGACTTGACACAATTGAGATCATTCTAATTTTCACTGGTGGCCACTGAATGTCTCTATGAGATGTTCAAATATGTAATTTGAAGCCAAAGTTTCGAACCAGAAATGCTGACTGACCATTAGTCTGACCAACCAGCTGTTTGGGAATAATGGTCATGAGTCAAACCTGATCACCAAGTTACCACGTCCACTTCTAACATTGACTACTGGAAGATGAACTATATGACATGGACATGGACATGCGGCAATTGCTACGAGGGTGGAACAGGAGGTCCCTATCTCCACTCTCAGAGTAAAACAGGCACAAGACAGGCCGCGATGGAATAAGAGGTTCTTCCTCACAATTCCAAGCAGAGAACAGTGGGAAGGGAATGCTGTGAAGTTTTTGCCATGGGGCTTAGTATGTTACACATACGGTTCCCGCCTGAACGACAAACAAGTCTCTGGCGCAGGAATCTACCTATATAGAAGGATGTGGTATTAGAGAGTTACGCTCTTGGAAAATATATCACAGTTTTTCAAGCCATCCTGGCCGTAGTAATGAGGCATGAGGTGGAAGAGGGACCGGAGCGGAACATCTACATCTGCTCGGACAGCCAGGCAGCACTCAAGGCAATCTGCCACCCTAGACCAAGTTCGGCCCTGGAACAGGGGTGTGGAGATGCGCTTGAAAAACTAGCCGAATCAAAGGATTCTGAACTATTGTGGGTGCCTGGCCATAGAGCGGTACCGGGCAACGACATAGCAGACGAATTCGTAAGAACAATAAGTTCCGTGACGGCATCTTGGAGACCGGAACCAATCATAGGCTTAGTAAGGAGTTAAGTGTCATTTGCCCTCAATGATTGAGCGATCGCAGCGATGTGTGAACACTGGAGGAATATCACCAGCTGCAGGCAGTCTGAAGACTTCGTGGCTAAACCAAGTAGATCAAGGACGGCATGGTTACTGGGCAGGGACCGCCAAGTACTACGCGTTCTCATTGGTGTGCTTACAGGACGCAACCGGCTAGGCGAACACCTATCGCTAATAGGTGTAGAAGATAACCCCAGTTGCCGTTAGTGTAGAGAAGACGTAGGAGAAACGTCATACCACTTCTGGGCCAGTGTAAGACGTATGGAAGGCTAAGATTCGAAATCTTTGGTGCTGATACGCTCTATTAGGAAGATTCAATCAACCTAAGGTGGACGGACATACACTGACCTCCATAAGGAACTGATACGCTTCATCAGGAAGATTTAATTAAACTAAGGTGGACGGACATACTGACCCTCATCAGACGGTCAAGAAGGTTCGAAAAGGAGAAGTAGATATGTGTGCGGCAGGGATCAGCAAAAATGAGGGCCCATGGGGGCATACTTGCTAGGCAACTGCTTCCCCCCTTTCTTACTACTACTACTACTACTTCTACCTGTCAACCGACCGCAAGCGTTTGGCGGTGCAATAGTTAAGGGGAAATAAGATAAAAAAACGCAATGTTGAGTCATACTGACAAACGGATCCCAGTCAATGGACTATCTTCTAGAATTCAGTTATCTTTGGTGAAATCTCTCTTTACAGTTGTCATTCATCATATCTCCAACTCTCTCCTCTAATCCACCTCGCTATGGCACATTAACGAGAAGGTTATTTGATACAGGAATTGTTCGACATTGGGCGCTAAAATTAGTAATTCAATGGACTTAGTAGAATTACATAATACCATAAGAATTAACTGTTTCAGTTTGTAATATTGTTGGGAAATATTATTGTCGCAAAATGAAGTGCGAAGTGCCAAACATTTGGCTACATAATAACATTCTTTGTTCCCGCAAGAGAGCGCCAATATAACCGATTTCTTCATCAAATTACATTTTAGATAATGTGACCTACATGAAAAATCCCCCTATTTAAATTCTTTTGGTCATCCAAGTGAAAAAATTACATAGGACAGTTGAGGTTCGGATCAACAGCAGGTTTTCCCATAACCTAACAACACCAGTACATCCTAGGGACTTTCCATGGACGTCCCTGATTTTATACTAGGACATCCCAGGGATGTCCTTTGTCGGGACAACGTACATACTAGGAATGTCCCAGGGACATCCGCTGGCCGCTAAAAAAGGCATCCAAGGGATGTCCTTCTGGTACGTCCCTGGGATGTACCAAGTACGATGAAAGGATATCCCAGGGACGTCCCAAGGATACCCCAGGGACATCCTTTCGACAAAAGAAAAAAGTTGCAGGTCGAGTAGGGATTGAACCCGGAACCTTTGGCTTATTATCATGCACGCACCTTGCTCCATTGGCTATCATGCCTCCTGAAGATTTATGTACTAAACAGATTTATAAACAGGATTTAACTACTGAAACCTGAATTAATACAACTTTATTAGGAATTGGATATAATTATTATCATTCTTGGGTGTTTAAAAATGAGGGGCATTATGCATGTACGATTTCTGTCTGCGAAAAATGGTGATTTCTTAAGAAGTTTATTCTTCATTTTCATCACAATCATTTTCCGGAAGAGAAACAAACATTTTCAAAAAAATTCAACTCAATAGTTTGATGAAATTCAATGACTCTGATGTGAATGGATATCAGATACTTCAGGGACACGAATAGGATAACCTAGGGATGTACCGGGCGGGATGTTCACTGGACAACCACTGCAGGACATCCCCTGGATGTGCCAATCATGTCCTTGTACCGCGGGACAAAAAAGGGACGTACCTAGGATATCCCTGTGTTGTTAGGGATATAATTAAAAATCGAATTCGGCGTTCTCCCAAATAAACATTCTCCCGCAAGTTATTCAGTCACTTTCGTTTTCGTTGGCTCATATACACTCTGTATAGTTTTTGTTCATTCTTGTGACTATAAACGATGGCACTAAGTTGTCTTCAAACATCACCAAACGCGCGCCTATCACTATGACGGAACAATGGACTTCCCTTCAGCATGAGGGCACCGACTTTCGAATTAACTGGGATATGAATATATTCACAGGAATTATCAGGAACAAAAGGACCTCGCTCAAAATGTTCGGAGTTTGGCAAAGGACGAGTTGTTCAGATCTGAATGTTTGTTGAGAAATCTCTTTATCTGGGCGTAATCAACTGTTGGATTTCAACTTATTATGGCCGGGAGGCTGATGGGTACGGAATTTTCGTAGGAACGCTTTGATTTCACTTTCAGGTAACGATCGGATTATGCAGCAGGTTCAGTATAATTAGGTGGAAGGTAGCGAAACCAGTTTTTATCGAAACGCTAAATGTTCACATTTCGTGCCTCGATTCATGTTGATTTTCTGAGGTAACATTTTCAGTAGTGAGAAAATAGTACTTTATTGTTTTATTAGATGGTAAATTGACCATAACAACACAGGGATGTCCTAGGTACGTCCCTTTTTTGTCCCGCGGTACAAGGACATGATTGGAACATCCAGGGGATGTCCTGCAGTGGTTGTCCAGTGGACATCCCGCCCTACATCCCTAGGTCATCCTATTCGTGTCCCTGGAGTATCTGATATCCATTAACATCAGAGTCATTGAATTTCATCAAACTATTGAGTTGAATTTTTTTGAAAATGTTTGTTTCTCTTCCGGAAAATGATTGTAATGAAAATTAAGAATAAAGGCTCAGAACTTCTTGAGAAATTACCATTTTTCGCAGACAGAAATCGTACATGCATAATACCCCTCATTTTTAAACACCCATCGAGAATGATAATAATTATACCCAATTCCTAATAAAGTTGTATTTATTCAGGTTTCTGTAGTTGAGTCCTGTTTATAAATCTGTTTAGTACATAAATCTTCAGGAGGCATGATAGCCAATGGAGCAAGGTTCGTGCATGATAAGCCAAAGGTCCCGGGTTCAATCCCTACTCCACCTGCAACTTTTTTCTTTTGTCGGAAGGATGTCCCTGGGATATCCTTGGGACGTCCTAGGGATATCCTTTCATCGTACTTGGTACATCCCAGGGACGTACCAGAAGGATATCCCTTGGATGCCTTTTTTAGCGGCCAGCGGATGTCCCTGGGACATCCCTAGTATGTACGTTGTCCCGACAAAGGACATCCCTGGGATGTTCTAGTATAAAATCAGGGACGTCTATGGGAAGTCCCTAGGATGTACTGGTGTTGTTAGGGGATAGTTTATGAGACATTCGTAATGGACAGACGAGCTGAGCGACATGCTATACAGAACTGAAAATACAACGTGGTGATATGGATTTCTCTACGCGACGTTTCGTATTCGTAGGAACATCATCATTTTTTTATGTGTCCACAGATTCTGAGAGCATTTTCATTCTGAATTCAACCATGTAATACTCACACTCAGATGAACAGGGATCAGAAAAAAAATTCAGAAACTTTAAGTAAATAATTCATATATTTATACATATAATACCTCTCGATTGGGAAGACCT